TACAAAAAGTCAAAATCATCATCTGGGTGTGGTGACACACTCCTAGGGTCCCAGCTACTTATGAGGCTGAGGTGGGAAGATCATTTGAACCCAAGAGTTTGGGACCAGTCTGGGCAGCATACCAAGACTCCATTTCTACAAAAAATAAATTAAATAAATTATCTGGATGTGGGTGCATGCATGTGTAGTCCCAGTTACTCAGGAGGCTGAAGCAGAAGGATCACTTGAGTCCAGGAGTTTGAGGCTGCAGTGAGCTATGATCACACCACTGCACTCCAGCCGACAGAGTGAAACAGTGTCTCTAACAAAGGAAAGATTAGCAAAACCAAGATACCTGGGACAGGCTCAGAAACACAAGGCATGGTATGGGCCATCCACAGAGAGCTTCAGACTTGATTTGAAGACAATAACAGTCCTCTAGGTTTTAGAGATGGACTGGTGAGGTGGGGAGGGGATGAATGAAGACAGAACTGGTGGAGGAAGAGCTGGCAGAAGGTAAGACATATCCATGCTCCTGCAGGCAGAGAAGCGGTGGGAAGAAGCTGCTGGGCCCAAAGATTCTTAGGCATCAAGATCTAATAGACATGGTAACCAGTTGACTATGAGGAGGACAAGAAGGAGCAGCAGAAGGCAAAGCTGGCTTGAGCTTCCAGTTCAGCTGACTAGGTGGATGGTACATGGTTGACAGGGATAATGAGATATTCTGGGGACAGGTTTGGGATACATTTGTTTGTTTTTGTAATCTAATCAGTGGGCTTTGGGTGTGACAAAAAAGGTGCTACCTGAAGTCATCATGTGACGAGTCCTTGGATCGATGTCAACATATATTGAAAAGTAAAGTAAAAAAAGTAGTAAATCTCCATGTATGAATTGGTGTCTGTTCACTGCAAACTGCCGAAGCCACCCTAGGAATGAGGGATAGGCAGTGAGGAATTCCTAGAATCTGTGTTAGTTGTTTTGTTTTTTTGTTTTGTCTTTTTTTAAATTTCAGGTGCAGGAGGTCCATGTGCAGATCTGTTATATGGGTACATTGTGTGATGGTGAGGTTTGGGCTTCTGTGGAGCCCATAACCCTAATAGTGAGCCTGCCATCCTACAGGTAGATTTTCTTAGGAGGAATTTAGGGCCACACTGCATTCATGGGAAGCAACTCCTTTTAGATTTCTTTTCTTTCCCTGACAGTCCCTGGCAGGGTGCTGGGTACAGGCCGGACATCTGCGTTGGTCCCTTTCCTGGCCTCTGAACACCTCCTTTTCTTCTCTTTAGGTTAGGTGGGTGCTTCTATCCTGTCTTGGATCCGGTGGGCTCTGCTGACTGAGGGTCCTGCCCAACCCCTCTCCACCTTTTCCAGGTCTGACTTCTCCTCCTCCTCCTCCTCTCCAGGCCCCTGGAATAAGGACATATCTGTCCTCTTCAACCTCTGCTTCCTGCCTGTCCCCCAGGGAGGATCACCAGGCTCTCCAAGGCCCCCTGAGCTCACTCTTCTCCCCCAGGCCTCCCCGTGCAAGAGGAGAGAGTGTTCCACCTTTTTGGCAGGAGGATCCTGGGCGAGGGGAGGGAGGCCAGGGGAGGCGGGAGGGCGTGGCGGGGGGGCTCACGTTGCCGCCTTTCCTGCAGCTCCCGGGATGCCAGAGGCGACTTGCCTGGAGCTGGATCGGCAGGAACCCCACTCCTTTCCCTGAAAGGAGAGAAACGTTTGCAGCTCATCAGGGAAGAGCGCGCTCCCCCGCCGTGCTCCAGCTTCTCTCCTTCCCTCCTGGGTTCCAGGACTTTCTCTCAGACCGAGGTCCCTCCTTCCCTGGGCT